CTTGAAGTGAGCCCAATGATAGCCAAAAGAAAAGTGGATCATTGTGGTACAGTAGAAGGAGTGTTTGTAAGCGAATTGGGGGTCATTACCAGATGATTTCTGACCCGGCCACTTGAAGATAAGTCATAATTTTGTGTGTTGTACTCAAATGAGGACTAAATTGTCTATATCACTCCAGTTATACCGTTCGCAAACAAGGATTCGAGCTCGGGACCCGAGAGCCAAGCGACGCAGCACGATTTAGGCTCAAGTCCGCCTGTACTCTGAAATTCAACGACAAGCGATAACATGTTTGCGTATGGAAACGCTTCCCGTGGGTTTCACGCCCTTCTGGATCTCTGGCACGACATGGGCTGCAGTTGAGCCCGAATGGGAAGACATAGTGTTGACGTTGTCTACAGTGAATTAAATGACCAATGCAGGTGTCCTCCTGAATTTCCTGTACACAAAGCAACAAATTATTCTTGGACATGTCTTTGCGTTTGCTTGAACCGGGTCGTGGTGGTGTGATGCAAAAAATGTAACGTCTAAATGAATGCATTTAGCCCGCCTCATTTGATATGCCACAAGAAGTGGCAGACTGTCAGAGGTAACTTTGGTCAAGAACAAAGTCAACTTTCTGTCTGGGAGATCTACCCTCTTAATAATTGGCTTTTCTCCACCGAACAACATTTTATTTGCATATAAATGAAGAAATATTGGGTTTCAAAGAATTCCTTAGTGATTTATCGTGACATGGCATTCCTTTTTCAAGGAAAATTCGGTTTAAAAGAATTCATGAAATTGTCTCATCTGAAATGGGAGGAGGATTGCCGAGGAGGGAAAACTGGCGGATTCTACGAAGCCAAGTGAGCCCTTGGCTCACGGTCCTGCGACCCTGATGAACTTGTGCTAAGCTTTCGTTGCCACCGTGACAGATGACATCAGATCAAGAACCCATATTTTACGGAATAGCGCAAAAAATATGCCAAACCTTTACTTTTCTTTTATCAACATTTTTGCGATTTTATAAAGTATAGACTATTGCTCTGATGTTGTCTGCCTCAGCTGTACAGACGAAAGCTTAGTACAGGTCCATCGGTGTCGCAGAACGGTGAGCCGAGGACTGCTTTGTACAATCTGTCAGTCTTCACTCTGTGATAATCCTTCTACAGTTTCCGATGAGAACATTTCACGAATTCTTTCCTTCAAATGGAAATGCATGTCACAACTTTGGCTGCTCGCCTGCTTTGACGCTATTCTTGATAATGTATTGTAAATCGGAACAATGAGCCATGAAATGCGTGAAACTGAACCAAATGTCAGATTCGCTGCAAGTGTCTACGAGAAGTCAAAAAAGGTGAAGTGAATAGATTTCTCCGGCAAGAAAGAAGCTTTCCTGACTCGTATCCCGTTAGCCAGAATTCATATACCGGCATTTCAGCCATGGAAACGGGCTATGTCGGAAGCCAACTTCCCGATAAATAATATGTGGGACTCGAAGGTATAAAGACCAAGATGGTGTGGCCTTTTGTGTGATCGCAGTCTCCTTTCGTTGAATAGAAGTT